TGTATTTAACACTGACTAATATATCTGTATTGAACACTGTCTATATGTGTATTGAACACTGTCTTTATCTGTATTGAACACTGTCTATATCTGTATTGAACACTGTCTATATCTGTATTGAACACTGTCTTTATCTGAAAAGTAAAACACAATAAAACCTGCACGATCCCCCCCCCCCGAATATCCAGAACTAAGATTCTGTATCAACCGGCCATGACATATGCTGGTTGGTTTCAAATCTTTAAAGCCGCTGTCTTGTTATAGAGCTGAGCTATCACTCCCGATATTATTTCTTCCTTCCTCTTTCAAATATTATGATCAGTGCAAGAATTTGATCGATGAACTGTTCCAAGAGATAAAAACATGTCGGTCGAATGTAACAATTTCTATACAGGTCCTGTTAAATACTATGTTACCTCAAAATGTTGAACAAAATGTACATTAGGGACCCGAATTATATAAATATGTTTTTTATATGGTGGGGGGATTATGCGTGGAAAAAGGGTAAGGGGGGGGGGTAAATATATGTGGGTAACGATATTCGAAGCAAGGTTTTATAAATGATATCTTTCATTCTCATATTTGAAACATTCAGTGAAGGAGCTGAAAATGTAGTTCTTTTTTTTCTTTTTTCTTCTCTCTCTATTTAATGAAACCGCATACGAATGTGACGTAATTTCCTGTATTTAAAGACTTTCTTCCGACTCGCAAATCCACAGGGTTAGTCAGATTGGGTGATCATTTTTGTTGTTGTCACACGTGACCCTCTGGTTCTGTCGATACAGTCTTTCTCGTGCTGACCTGTAAAGCTCGCGTCTGAGTTGATGTGAGTTGATGACCCAGAGTCACAGATCCGGTTTGCTGGGTCGATAGAGGGGTTTGGGGATGGGGAGAGATGGGGAAATTAGCAATGATTTAAAAAAACCAAAAAAAAACCAACCCTACCACTTCAATTACAATAACCATTGGTCCTAACTGTAGGATTTAGAGATGGGATGTGGCCGTTTTGTGGCTGGGCATTTCAGCAACTACACTCTGAACAACGGACGGATCGCGATCAGGGCTACAATAAAATACATATTTTCAAAACTTTCAACAAAAAAAAAAAGACGAGTTTCAACGCAAACAAAATTTGAAACGTTTTTCTATTTTGAACTGCGTATAAACTCGTTGTTTTGTTTTTTTTTATAGAAAGTCTCAGCTTTTCTCATTTATATTCTTTCCTCATTTAGTGTAGCCATTTGCAATTTCGACATTTCATGTTTTTTGACATTCCATATCATGCCATGTGGCAGCTTGCAATTTTTTGAATATCCACAATGTAATATAATCCTCCTAAATTAAACTTATCATTTTCTTATTATGACCCAGCGTAATTTTATCTCTCTCTTCCCCTCCCCCCCCCCCCCCCCCACACACACACATTCCTTTTTCAACTCCCATGAACGTTATCAGAGGATGACTTCCGTCTCCTCAGACGGGAGGGGGGGGGGGAGAGGGGGAACTCCATACCGTCGGCTGGCAGCTTTAGAAATTCCCCTCGGGCTTTTAACAATAACAGACAGCGATTTGAAAAGATGGTTTCATTGTCGAAATTTTGTCTACGCCGACCCAGGATTCCGTTAGAGAACATTTCCCCATTAGTTCAGGGGCCTGCACTCGCGCGACTGCCTGATAGAGGCTTTTTACAAGTGACGTCGTTTTATTTATTCATTTTTTTATAACCGAGTCTCCAAAATATAAGTTCAAGGACGTCACCCATTTATGTAAATACGTCCTGGGCTTCCCGATGAGAAAAGTTTGTAACGAATTCTTCAGAGCCGTTATGTTAGATGAACTATTATAGTTTTACGAACATTTTAGCTTGATGATTTCTTAGGGAGGAAGGATTTGATCCCGTGATTTTCTTGATCGTCTATCCTTGATGATAGTTCGTCTGTCTAGGGTCGACCATGACCATTCTAAACACCGGTGTGTTGCCAGGGCTGTGTCTGTCTGTAGGTGCGCAGATGGCTGATCGGGCCAATTCTGGCATTAAAAGTTATGGTGCATAAGGTGCAGGGAATAGATGGGGCAAGTCCAGTTACAAGGGATGGATTGGGCAACTCCAGGTGCAGAGTTCACTCTGGCTTCCCTGGATTTTATGGCTTTTTGTGTGTTATGCCGCATCTGGTCTGTCTGTCTCATGGTGCATGGAGCCCAGCATCTGGTCTGTCTGCCTCATGGTGCATGGAGCCCAGCCTCTGGTGTGTCTGCCTCATGGTGCATTGAGCCCAACATCTGGTCTGTCAGCCTCATGGTGCATTGAGCCCAGCATCTGGTCTGTCTGCCATATGGTGCATTGAGACCAGCATCTGGTCTGTCAGCTTCACGGTGAATTGAGCCCGTGTGTATGGGAGAGCGTCCCGAGTCTCAATTCTTTGGACGGTTCCCGTATGTCCTTATGCCGTGTATAAAATCACACAAATGCACACACACAGACACACGTGTATGCCTTAAACATAAAATTATAGGGACATGCTGTAAACTTTATTTTTCATTGTATCCCAACCCCCCCCCCCTTTTTTTTTCCAGCGCGCCATTTTACCTCGCATGTTTTTAAAAGCAATTTATTATGTATCTTGAGCGCATTTCGGACACTGCTGATCTTAAAGTCTGTATATATTATGCACTATTTATGTTTCTAAAAAGCCGAGTGAAAACCACTACTAGTTATTTACTTTTTTTTCGGTTTCATTTTGGTCACAATGTATTTAAGAGTTAAGATGTTATAAAACTCTATCAGCCCCGAGCTGACGAAATAATCAGACCCTTCAAACGTATACCTATGTCGGTGTAGAGACTATATTGAAAAAATATATCTGTATTACGTCATCTTTGATAAAAGAAAGCCCCTCATGTCTGGTTTATCGAGCAGGCCGTGGTGTAGACGAGAAACACAAAGCTATAACATTTACTACTAAGCCATTTTTCAGAAAGATAATGGCTGATCATCACAGCTGACGGTGGCGGATACCAGAAGGGATTTTTTTAGGAGGGTTGGGGGTCACCCCCTATATGTGTTTTTATAGAAAAAAGTTCATTTGTAGAAATATAGACATAATATACATTTGACATAAGATGGATACCATGGATTTCAATTGTAAGTCTGAAGTAACGATGCTAAAATTTCCGTTTTGTTGCGTTTTTTTTTTCAGGTTTAAGCCTACTTTCTTTTACTCACTTTATATTTGGCTAACCTGATTGCTGCCTCTCCCCTTATTACCCTTCTGGAAAAACTAGTCGCTCTAAGTGGTGTTTCACTTTCGACATCTTTGTATCTGCATACGACTCAGCGGAATTATTGTGCGCAAGGGGCGAAAAATGTTTACTTTTCTACGCCCCTGATTGAACCCGGGCCATTCTTTAAATACCATTTTATATTTCCCACAGCAAGATATGGATTACTTCCCATGATAAAAGTATTCCATGAAAACCTCTTCCAAAATATTATTGTGCGTCATCAGCTCATCTAACATAAAGTTTAGTGGGGGGAGTGGGGGTACAACGTATGGATGATAGCGGGGGAGGGGAGGGGGGTAGAACATCTGGATGATAATTATTTACCGATTTTAATATCAAGTGGCAGTAACTCTGATCCTTTGTAAAATAAAACAAGGGACGCTATTCAACAAAACGCCTGGTCTCCCATTAAAATAAGGCATTAAGTTCTCAATATCGCCAATTGTGTTTTCTGTATAACGAGGGGGAAAAAAAAGTATATTTTAATTGTCTGGCTTAGGCTGGGAATCGAGCACAAATCCTCTGGTTAGGATCGGGCAGTCAACGTGTACCCGCCAATGGCTTGCTGAACGGGGCCATTCTCAAGTACCGGATGTTAAGAAAGTATTTTTTTTAGAAAATCCTTAATCAAAATATTCTAATAAGAGTTTTGTAATTAAGAAAAAATGTGATGAATTATTGAGCATCTAGCGAAATTATAATGTTTGAATAATAAAGAATGTTCTAACAAATTAACTTAACAAGATTGTGTTTTACTAACATTCGTAGTAAACCCTAAGCCCCTGAATTTAAACAATACCATGACCTGGATGATCCACACACAGAATTTAGCAGGTCCAAGTTCTAAGGGGTCAAGTGCAAGGATTCCACCAATTGGGTTTTTTTTTTGGGGGGGGGGGGTCGGGGGATGGAGACCTCTCTGTCTTCTAGCAACTCACCTCCACATCTTAACAAGTTTGTCATATCGCTGTCTTATTTCTTTTTTTTAACGCTTATTAATCTATTAAAGAAATTCGTGAGTTTATTTCCTTTATTTTAAAATATCCCTTCAATGCCTTGTCTCTACTACTTATATAACTATATATTATATTTTTAAACAAAAATAAATACTATATTGTAAGCATTATTTTCAATTGAAAAAAACACACACAAAAAACCAACACTTTTCTGTGGTGTGGTTCAACAGCAATGACTTGTTAGCATACGAAAGAGAACTAATCACATGTCTTGTAAATGTTTTATTGTTGTTTTTTTTTAATTTAATTTTTTAATTTTAAAAATAAACAACAACATTGTGCATATCCAATCCTCTTTTAAAAAGGCTGTTGCTAGCGCAGTAGTGGAGCTGTTCAACTGTAGCGTTATGTCACGTTAGCCTGACCGTGACATGACCTAAATTCTTACAGGTACGTTACGTCACCGGCAAACGACTAGTCCCAGTTTAGTGTTGTGGCAACCCCCACCGCTGCTGACGTCATTTAAACCGCAGTCCGTTATCCGATTGGCCTTGTTTATATCCGAAGCCAAACGGGTCTTTCCGGATGTGGCTTCCAGTCTATTAATAGACATGCTACGTGGAAGTCGCCCTGCTGGAATCGTCGTGTCTACTAATTGTGATCTGGTCAATGCTCCGTCACAAGTTAAGTGTGGTATGAAATGATCGCTCGTTAAGGTTGTATAAAAGGACAGAATGTATGAGCTCCTACTAATTGTCCGAAAACCTTCTGAAAGGAATAACCAGTTTACAGAGAGAAAATAAATTATCCCCTTAAGTCTTCAGACAATAACGTTTTAATTAAAGTTTAAACGCTAATTTTTAATTCATCAATTTCAGAGTACGTACTTCAGGTAAAAGACTAATATTGTCATTATAAAAAAAGTAAAAACACATTCAAGTTGAGGATTTATCAAGGAATTTTCTCCAGCTTTTTTCCTTTTACTGCTTGAAAAATAGTTTGTGCATACCATTCTAATCTCACCGGCACGAACCTGAGATGGGTTTACTACTGGCTAAACTGTACGAGGCTGTCCAGATGTTCCAATCTGGCACACCAACCCGTGTCCTCATGCTGGGGTTGGACGCTGCTGGCAAGACAACCATTCTATATAAGGTAAAGCGTTTAAAAAATATTTTTATAAAATGTGTTTTCATTGTATAAAACAAATATAAGAGTTGATATAAATGCGTTCCTCTCATAGGCGGTTTACCAGCGTTGAAATGGTGTTAATCACACATTTGATTCAGAGGTCGTCTCTTTCATATCACACTGTAATATTCTGTAAGAGCTCAGGGCTGAATTATTGATGGTGAATGAATTGCTGTGCTGAACGGAATTGTCATTTCGCCTTTTAAATGTCCACGTGGGTGCATCCATTGGCATTTGGAGCATGTTCTACTTTATTCGTTGCCATCCAACACATGGATGCCAGTGTCATAGATGCTCATAATAATCTAGATACAACATAAATGCATCATGCAGTTTATAGTATTTGGTAAATATAAACTGAAGCCTTAAGGGAAGCACATAAATGTTTCTCTTTATACATTATAAAATTAATTTTTTTATTAAAAATTACACATTAATAACTATAAATCGAGCATCTAAGTAAAACTATTTTGTTAGTATAACAGTGTTATTATATTAATTATTCTTTAATTAAGCGAATTTAAGATAATATAATATTAATAAGATAAGAGATTCTCTATTGATCCACATACATGGAAAGGCTTTTTAATTACAGTGTACATATTAACTTTCAGCATATAAATAAACACATGTTTTTAACCAACACAATATTTTACTGTTACAACAATTTAAACACACGACATCTGAAGTTATTGCTCGTGCGTATAGAAATCAGCCATCAAAGAACTCTTAGTGACAATAATGACCCAATTAGTGATCATTTAGATGTGGTCATCGCTGGGTAAGGAGGGCGAGAGGGGGGGCACGCTGGTAAATTCGTACAGAGTGGGGAACACAATAATTTGTACATCTACTGCCATCATATCAAGTGCTTGCCTGAGATGTTAGAATATTTTACACGTCAACAAGAAACGTTCTATAACTCCATCCATGGTCTCTGCTGCAGGTCAAACTCAACGAGAACGTCTGTACGATACCTACCATCGGGTTCAACGTCGAGACGGTCACCCCCATCAAGGGCGTGTCCTTCACCGTGTGGGATGTGGGGGGCCAGGAGAAGATTCGTGCTCTGTGGAGGCATTACTACGTGAACACGGAGGTGAGCAGGTTTTTTTTTTTTTAAAGTTCACGTCAAGTCTATGTGGTGTTGATGACTGCAGGGCAGCTGGGTTAATTGAATATCACGTAGTGTTGACCATGTCACTGAAGTGTGTCTAAATGTCACGTATTACTGAATATGCCATTGAAGTGTGCCTGCCTGTCATGTATTGCTGACCAAGGCATTGAAGAGGGACTAAATGGGATGTTTTGTTGACCAACGCATAGAAGTGTGTCTAAATGTCATGTATTGTTGACCATGGCGTCGTGACGTGTATAGATGACCACCTCTACGTGGTTTGTCTTGACCTCACAAGTTTCTCACAATAACGAAGGGTTAAAGTTCTTATTAAATGTAACAATGACCAAGGTCTTAGGTCTTTTCATTAACTGTAACAATGAACATGGTCTTTGGTCTTCTCATTAAAAGTAACAATAACCAAGGTCTTTGGTCTTCTCATTAAAAGTAACAATGACCAAGGTCTTTGGTCTTCTCATTAAAAGTAACAATGACCAAGGTCTTAGGTCTTTTCATTAACTGTAACAATGAACATGGTCTTAGGTCTTCTCGTTAAAAGTAACAATAACCAAGGTCTTTGGTCTTCTCATTAAAAGTAACAATAACCAAGGTCTTTGGTCTTCTCATTAAAAGTAACAATGACCAAGGTCTTAGGTCTTTTCATTAACTGTAACAATGAACATGGTCTTAGGTCTTTTCATTAACTGTAACAATAACCAAGTCTTTAGTCTTCTCATTAAATGTAACAATGACCAAGGTCTTAGGTCTTCTCATTAAAATTAAAAATGAACAGGGTCTTAGGTCTTTTCACTAAATGTAACAATGGCAAAGGTCTTCTCATAAAATGTAACAGTGACCAAGGTCTTCTCACTAAATGTAACATTGACCAAGGTTCTCCTCTATATATTAAAATAGTTTCTTGCCCAAACCTGGTATCTGTTCTGCGGTGTTCTACGGTCATGTTATCAGACTTACACAGTCTTAAATTCTCTCTGCTAGAATAAAATCACAATCAGTTATCTCTCCCATTCCTTTATTTGTTATTATTTGCATCTGTTTTCTTTCCCAGGGTCTTTTCTTTATCGTGGACAGTGCTGACGTCAGCAGAATGACCGAAGCCAGCGAGGAGCTGTTTGGTATCGCCAAGTCCCCAGAGATGCAGGGGGTCCCTGTTGTTGTGGTCGCTAACAAACAAGATCTGCCCGGGGCTCTATCCACAGCGGAAGTCGCCGACAGACTCAAACTCAGGGAGTTGCGTGACAGGAAGTGGTTCGTGCAAGGCGCATGCGCCGTGAACGGGGATGGAATTTACGAGGCCATGCATGAAATGGCCAAGTTGGTCAAGGAATTCAAAAAGCGGTGAAGATTGAGCTGAACTAGATTGTGTATGAAATCTTGAAACTAGCGAATGTAGAACAGGTGGATTTTGTTGTCCAAGAAATTGGAAAAAAGATATTAAATGTGATAGCTTCATAAGCACTATTTAAAATGTTAAGTAAATATTTTTATATCAATTATCTGTAAATTGTTGACACTACAAGCGCATGTCTTTGGAAAACGTGTTGAGTAATTCAGTTAGGGACAAGATTGTGACCAAAACAAAGGGAACTCATCAAAACGATAAGAGGTTTTGTAATCACTGGACACAGGAGGGATTTTTGCTTGTTTTTTGAGACTTGCACAGTTTGAAGGCCATGGCCTTGGCAACACAATGTCAAGAATAACACGACGAGAGTATTTGTTGGACAACGAGAGTATTTGTTGGACAACGAGAGTATTTGTTGGACAACGAGAGTATTGTTGGACAACGAGAGTATTTGTTGGACAACGAGAGTATTTGTTGGACGGCGAGAATATTTGTTGGACGGCGAGAGTATTTGTTGGACGGCGAGAGTATTTGTTGGACGGCGAGAGTATTGTTGGACAACGAGAGTATTTGTTGGACGGCGAGAGTATTGTTGGACAAGGGGAACAAGTTTGTTTAGCTGGGTGATATCGATTTCTATGGAAGTATATTATGATGAGATATATTGATTAAGGTAGTAGGAGTATCGAAAGATTCGAGACACCTCTTTCTCTCCATCTCTCTCTCCCTCTCTCTACCCCCTCTTTCTCTCTGTCTCTCTACAGCTCTGTCTCTCTCCCTACCTCTCCTCTTTCTCTCTCTCACTCTCCTCTCTCTCTCTTTCTTCGTCCTCGCCTCTTTCTTATACACACATAAATAAGTACAAACTTTAAAGCACACACATTTTATCCTCACACATGTTACCTCAGGTTCTCTCACATTCTCATCACAAACACACCTGATGAACTCGCCCATCTATCACCTGCACAAAGCTACATGTAACTCTAGAAATGTGGAACATGTTTAAATTAAAACCAATACAATCTATCATTACTCATTTACATCTCTACCAACATAAATTTATCACCCACGATAACTAACAAGTCTGGAAGCACGCATTCTTGTATGTTATGAATGCTTGAGGTTTCTCGCTATCAAATGCATCTAATTTTCCTGTTAACGACAAGGTTTGCATTAGCGAATGTATATTTAATGTAGATCAATTCCAAACACTTGGCTAAGCTCTAAAAATCCTGTAAAATATGTATACCTTACTTTATGTTTGTTCGAAGGAAGAAGACTCGTGTAAGGTATGCAAGGGGAGGAATCATCCTTTTTGATGTTGACATGTAACTAACCAACTCCTCTATATATCTACAAATGTACATACAGCAATTACTTAATGTGCATTTTGGTGTAATTACCAAAATGGAATTCGTGATGTGTAAACTCTATAATTTTTTTTGTTTCGAAGGATTTGTTTAAAAGAATGCTATGTTGTAAAATAAATCTGCACAACTCTATCTGACAGGGACTGGCCAGCTACTAGACTCTATCTGACAGAGACTGGCCAGGTGCTAGACTCTATCTGACAGAGGCTGGCCAGGTGTTAGACTCTATGTTACGCAGACTGGCAAGGTGCTAGACTCTATCTGACAGAGGCTGACCATGTGATAGACTCTATCGGACGCAGACTGGCAAGGTACTAGACTCTATCTGACAGAGACTGGCCAGGTACTAGACTCTATCTGACAGAGACTGGCCAGGTGCTAGACTCTATTTGACAGAAGCTGCCCAGGTGTTAGACTCTATCTGACAGAGGCTGGCCAGGTGTTAGACTCTGACAGAGGCTGGCCAGGTGCTAGTCCATATTTTGGGACAGTGCTCCCCGTGTTTCAACTTTCCTTGTGGCCCGCTATTCTAATACCCCAAAGAATTACGGCTGCCTGCCAGATTTATGAGAAAAACAAATGGTGACATGTGAAGATTGTTTATGAGACTAAAATTAAGGTTATTCATTTTTTTTTATATTTGTAACCCCCCCCCCCACACACACACACTCCCACCCCCCACGAGATAGAAGCACAAATCATTTGAATGAAACAAATAATTTATAATACTTGCTGTATATATTTTTGTTATTAATATAATTTATTTGTTACAATAAATTTATTTTAAATTATTTACATATATTATGAACTTGTTATCAATTTTTATAAAATAAAATGAATTAAAAACGTTAAAAACCCCACGTCAAGCCTTTTCTTATTGGATGTTTTGTTGAATAAATGAAATTTGAAATGTTTAAAAAAAAAAATCAACTTCAAAGAACCTTTTCAGCATTTAAAATAACTTAATAAAGAAATGCTCCGAGGTCGGGATCGAAAAGATGATTTTTTACGATTGAAAACAAATCTAAGTTATTTCTATTAACAGGCTATTTGCAGGCTCTCGTCTGCAAGTTTAATCAGAGAATCAAAGACGGACATCTTTGAGAAAAAACGTAGTAACGTAAATCGAAAAATAAAACGTGTTCAAGTACAAGTTGTCGCCCTCTGATGCCCCGGATGAGAAAATGGCATCCGGTTTTAGTCGTCTCAAAGCCGATTGGTCAACAAGGCCAATCTGGAGTGTGGGATAGAGTATTGGAAATAGCTCACGGTAGGCCAAGAGGAAATGCATCTACGGGTAGGGTCCTTAGACACAGCCAGAGGAAAACGTATAGGCTAATAAAATACTTTTACAAAAATGTTAAGGGTTTCCTTTTCTTTATCAATTGTAAAATTATGTGGATGCATTAACTTAGGTAAAGGCAGATAATTTCTATGAAAAACAACATTTTTTTAAAAACTCGAGTTAAGTAGTTTCATGAAGCAAGATTTGACACCATCAACATTCATACATTGATCTAATTTAACACTCGACCGAAATGGGATTATCAAGGATATTCTACCATACTTATCTAAATTTGTCGTACAGGGACTATCTAGGAAGCTGTACCATACCTATCTAGAGTTGTTGTACAGGGACTATCTAGGAAGCTGTACCATACCTATCTAGAGTTGTTGCGCAGAGAATATATAAGAAGCTGTACCATACCTATCTATAGTTGTTGTATCGAGACTATCTGGGAAGCTCTAACATCCCTATCTATAGTTGTTGTATCGAGACTATCTGGGAAGCTCTAACATCCCTATCTATAGTTGTTGTATCGAGACTACCTGGGAAGCTCTAACATCCCTATCTATAGTTGTTGTATCGAGACTATCTGGGAAGCTCTAACATCCCTATCTATAGTTGTTGTATCGAGACTATCTGGGAAGCTCTAACATCCCTATCTATAGTTGTTGTATCGAGACTATCTGAGAAGCTCTAACATCCCTATCTATAGTTGTCAGACGGAGAAAGTTCAATCTGGTAGCATCTCTCCTGCTCTTGAAATATTTACAAAGGATCTGAACTTGATTGAAAATTATACATCTATATGTTAGTTATAGCGATAACAAGACCCTGGTCTTGTGTGTGGTGTAATTTCTTATTCCCATCATTGTTTTTTTTTTTTTAATACATGTGTAGAATTTGCGGAAAGTAAGCTTTTATAACATATTAGACAAATATATTTTTTTGGTTTGACTTAATTTCTAAGACGGTAGAGAAGTGTGAAGTTTTGGCTTTGCCGTGCACTAAAATTCGCTGTGTGTACTTTAAGATGAAACAATATTACAAGCCAGTAGTTTTCTGCATCAGGAACTTCTAAATGTTTCTGCATCACACAGTTTTTTTGTGTGTGACATACTCTGCCCTTTGTCACATACTTGGCACTTTGTCACATACTTGGCACTTTGTCACATACTGTTCACTTCTTCACATACTCGGCACTGCGTCACATACTCTGCACTTAGCCACACACTCTTCACTTCTTCACATACTTTGCGCTTTCTCGGAGAAAGAGGCCGTCCTGTTGTAATAACGCGTGAAGTGAGAAACAGCCAATAGTACTTGGGTAAGGCTAAACAAAAAAAAGAGTGCACATAAAAACAAACTAATCACAAGTTCCTCTGAAGATCGCCCCAACGTACCGAGTCCCATCATAACCGCGACAGACACCCATGAGCTGTGTACTATAGAGCGGATATTTTTCTCTTTCTTCTTTTAATCAGCACATCCTTGCATGTTTGCACTTGTCAAATATACCATCAGAGTTATTGAACAGACCGGCCATAGTCTTGTTTGACTCATCTCCCTTTCATGCTCCCCAAAAAAGATTGCAGTATTACTTTATCATATTCAACACAACTTGCTCATTTGAAGAGTACTGTATTACTTTATCATAGAAAATACAGCTATAGTTCATTTGAAGAATACTGTATTACTTTATAAGTTTATCATAGTCAACACACATATAGTTCATTTGAAGAGTTCTGCATTACTTTATAATAGTCAACATAGCTATAGTTCATGTGAAAAGTGCAGAATTACTTTATTATATTCTGTCGTCTATAGAGCTATTGTTCATTTAGTTTCTCCTGGATTTTCAATGAACTCTAGACACTTTAGTCAAAAGAAATCTACCAAAAATTGCATTGATTAATACGAAATTTGTATTACTTTCTTTTAGAAAGCATTAGATATTGTTAGACACTTGTATTTCGAGTTCGTTTCACTTTGGTAAGTATTGATACTCTTGACACGATAATATCAGAGAGGAATGGTATGACGCTGAGAGGATAACCTCATGTAACCAACGATATAACTGTATTGTACTGACAGCCAAATGGTATCTTGTTATCACAGGAGCGGTGCGTTACTTTCAGACAAACGAGTGGTATGTTACATTCCGACGAATGGCTTACAAAAGTCGAGTGTAGACGGTTTGTTACTGTCAGAGACATGGTTAAAATTACATTCAATGATAATTTTTGGGGGTTTCCTGTAATTTGGTTGGGTTCTTAATTAAGATTGTCTTTAAGTGGATTTTTTGTAATCAATGAAAATGCTAAACTTTTTAATTTAATTTTTTTTTAAAAGCCCAACCTTTCAATTTTTTAAGTCTACTAAAAAAAAAAGGACAAACAATATTTCCTATTGGTTTGCGGTGAAATTTCGTTTTTTTTATGAGAATAAAAATGCATGATAATTATGAGGAAATATTAATTATTTATATTTATAAGACAAATATAGTAACTTAGCAACCTCCCCCCCCCCAACCACACTCACACACTTTCCTTTAACTTCTCAAAACCCATTTCTCAATTTCCAGGGGTGGATCTGGTAGGTATTCACTAAAACCTGGCAATGGGGTCATGACACTAAAGGTTGGAGAACCGCCGCTCTCAATTAAATGGTTAAGCACCACATGACACTTCTCATTCACTATCTTTGTGGATCATTTCATGGTCCTTTGATGTCACACAGGAAGTTAGGAAGTTGACTAAATGAAATGTTTATCTTTTTTAGTAAAAAATAATTTTTTTTGTGTATTGGCGTAGATTCCCCGTAGATAATTTTTTGCTGGAAACTTGACTTCCTAAAACCACCACAAACCAATGAACAAGCTGGTCTCTTGTTATAAAACCACCACAAACCAATGAACAAGCTGGTCTCTTGTTATTGAAAAAGTATGTGTGTGTGTGTGTGGGGGGTGGATTTGAAAGGCTTTGGGGTGGGGAGGGGGACACAATTAAAGTCTATGAGATATGTGTAAATTGTTTAAGTGGATTTCGTGGTAACTAATGATTCCCCACAACCAAGAACAGCTCATCGTTGCTAATGGCAAATTTCCTGTTGATGAAGACGTTTTCATGATTAAAAATAGTGTGATGGGAAGGGCTGATCAATTTAATTCACCACACAAAACAACTTATATCTCAGGTTTGTATTACATGAAATTGAATAGGTAAAATATCTTATGCAGGCAATAAAATCAAAGCGTTATTGATGCCGAGTGTGAGGCCAGAGCTATCAAAGAAAACTGACTTAATGGTAACAATTTCATACCGAAATATGGATTTCAGTAGAGTAACTACATGGCATTCCGCCGGAAAATACTATAGATAAAACCAGTGTGGACACTGCTGTACTTTTTAATAGAGCTTGCAGCAATATCCAGTACGTAACCAGCTCTAAGTGTTCAGGTGTCTGTAGGTTTCTTAAATTTGAAAGCTTTATTTAAAAAAGAAAAAAAAAAGTAATTCAATCATGAAATGCTTTGTTATTTTTATATAGAACACTTTGTCCAAACTTAAGCAGACACAAACATCCAGTCCAATAAATTATTTTAAAAGAAACAAGATATTTAATACTTGACGTGTTTAGTTTATTCAGACATCTTTGTAAGAGAAATCAATAGTCAGCAGGCCGATAAAAAAAAGGCTATAATCTCCAAGCAAAAAAAAAAAAAAAGTTAGTTAAAATCAACAAACCAAGTTTTTACATAATATAGCAAAGTTATTTCAACAAGCACAGCGGTTTTTAAATAGCGGTACCCACAACCAAACCTGAAGGGTACGGGAAGACCCAGGGGAAAAAAAACTAGGTCTTGTTGAATTGTATTCGCATTATTTCTATTGCTGGGGGTGTGTTTGGAGGAAATTATTTTGAAATTGACATGGGTTACGATAAATGCTTTTAAATCAAGAGAGAGTGCTGCGCTGCAAGAAGGTTAAGAACCCCTGATCTACAGTATACTTAGCATTAACATTAGTGCAGAGCATAAACAAGCAATTATATTATATATATATATATATAT